CGCTGCGCCGGCCCCCCAGGGAACCCAGAACATCTGGGACGCAGATGGCAGAGATGTGTCATGGGAAAGGCACAGGCTCGCACTGCAAAGGGGCCCTCGGAGACGGGGACGGACCCAGGGCCAGTGTGGAGCAACCCAGAGCTCCCTGCGGCTGACGTGGGTTCCTGCCTCGCAGCAGGCTCTCAGCACCCTGAACACGGTACGGTGACTGATGAGAGCCGGCAGGAGTGACCGAGCACCACTTCCGCCAGAAGTCTCTGCCACCAGAGTGCAAAGAAACCGCCCTAAGGGCTGAGCCCAGAGTTGGGGCCCAGACACACCCGACCCCGTGCGCTGAATCAAGGGCTCAAACTCACCCAGACACGCCGGAGCAGCGAGGCGTGAGCAGGACTGGACTCGGCGCAGCTTCTGCCGTGGACAGAGGAGCCTACGAGTCAGGGTCCACGCCACTCTCGAGAACGCCGAGATAAAAGACGTGAAATTCCATTTCCAGGCGCAGATCCATGTTAAGATCACTCGAATCATCCAATTAGCAAACCTCAGTCCGTTGATGTGAATGTGAAAGCGACACATCTAGAGGCAGTCGTGAACATCGGGCTTCGAGTCAAGGTGACACAAGGACAGACTCAGCATCGGAGAGCCGGGGGACAAGAGACACACAGCGGCCAGAGGGACCCGCACTGCCCAGTGCTGCCTGCACCGAGTGTCCCTGTGATCACTGCCCCACTGTCCCCGCACGTCCCTGAGGTCACTGCCCTCCATCTCTGTGTGTCCCCTCGGCACGATGGAGCCCTGTTCCTATTCTGAGTTGCATCCCAATCTCATGCCTATCCACTCAGCAGCCCCCCCAAGAAAATCACATTTTCAGGAATCAGAAAAGCTTGGCTGCTGCTCCTTAGGGAATCTGGGACCAAAGTGGCAAGAAAGGTCCCCTGAGCGGACATCCTAACTCTGCTCAGTCGACTGTGTGCTGGCCACTGACTGGCCCCTAAGGCAGTGACCACTAACTAGTCCCTTTCAGGCAATGATCACTAACTAGTCCCTAAGGCAGTGACCACTAACTAGTCCCTTTCAGGCAATGATCACTAACTAGTCCCTAAGGCAGTGACCATTAACTAGTCCCTTTTAGGCAATGATCACTAACTAGTCCCTAAGGCAGCGATTACTAACTAGTTCCTAAGCAACAACCACTAAGTAGTCCCTAAGGCAGAGACCACTAACTAGCCCCTAGGCAGTGATCACTAACTAGTCTCTTACAGGCAGTAATCACTAACAGGCAGTTATCACTAACTAGTCCCTAAGACAGCGATTACTAACTAGCCCCTAAGGCAGAGATCACTAACTAGTCTCTAAGGCGGCGATCACTAACTAAACCCTAAGGCAGCGGTCACTAACTAGTCCCTTACAGGCAGTCATCACTAACAGGCAATGATCACTAACTAGTCCCTAAGGCAGTGACCTCTAACTAGCCCTAAGGCAGCGCTGGCTGACTAGCTGGGTGCTCTCCCATGACGGGTGCTCCCCTGGGCTGCCCTCCTGGCTGGGGTCCGGCCCTGGCGCAGCCCCAGTGCTCACTCCCATTGCCCGGAAGCTCAGCGTGGGCTGGGGGGCACGAGCCCTTCCCAGCTAAAGCCTCTAGCCCCTGGGCTCATCCCTGTCCCTCAGCCCAGCCCCTTCCAGAAGGAGTCACAGGGACCCCCGCAGGGCCCGTGGCCTCGCCCGCAGCCCTGGGCCCAAGAGCACAGCAGGGTGCAGGGGGTGTCCCCGTCAGTCTGTCTCCGTCCGTCTGTCCTCCAGCCCCTCCCGGCCCACTGGGGCCGGCAGTGAGGGCAAGGGGCCTCCTCCCCCTGCGGGCACCAGCTCTGCCCACAGCCCCCCAGACCCCTGCTCCAAAGCCGGCTCTAAGACACGGGGCCAGTGGCACCTGAGCCAGGACTGTGGGCATCACACCAACCAGCATGGCCCAGACGCAAAGCCTGGCGGGCCGAGTGCGAGCAGCCCCTAAAGCCTGCAGGGCCCAGCGTCACCCTCCGCCCCCCCCAGGGCCTCTCGGGAAGACACAGACAGAACCTGTGTGGCCGCAGCCGTCAGCAGGGAGAGGCCTGGGCTGATGGGAGTGAGGACAGGCAGGAGACGGGACCAAAGGGCAAGCGGAGATCGTGGCTAATGCTTCCTCCCTACACGCCCAAGGGAACGCGTCAACACATCTGCCAACGGTACACACACACACGTGTGCACATGCATGGGTCACATGAACATACACGTGTGCACATGTGTACGCATAAAGCTTCCTATACATATGGGTACACGTGCTGCAGTATATGATGCATGTGCATGTGTTGATGTCCATTTGTGTACACGCGTGTGCACACGGGTTTCCCTGCACACCTGTGTGTTCACACACGTGTGCACATAAAAAGATGCACATGTGTGGACATGCACGCATGTGCGTGAACGCATGTGTGCTGTGAATATGCACATAGATGTCCTTGTGCATAGGCCAGTGCACATGTGTGTGCGTGTGTACATGTGTGGCACCTGCTGGATAACAACGCTGGGCTCCTTCCGGCCCTCTGAGGAGTGGCAAAGAAACAAACCGGGAGAGACGGTCCAGCAGAGGCGCGCGGGGAGGGACCACCCGTGCCGGAGGCGGGGGCTGCGCGGGCCAGAGAAGCCCAGACCCTCCCGTCCTGCAGGAGCCAGGCCCGAGCCCACCGCCGGCTCGACTGCGACTTTAAACACCTCCCAGGGCTCAGCGAGGTGGATTTAAGCGATTAGCAGAGAAACAGGAACACAGTAATATTTGTAATATCAAAGCCCAGCCCAGTCAATTACAAATCTGAGCACGGGAGGAGACGGCTCTGCGGCTCTTAGCTGATAAAAGAATAACAAATACAAAAAATCTGCCCAACAACAAAGCTTCAATTTATTCTACACGCTCATCAATTTAACCCTCCAAAACCCTTAAAAGCCTGCGGGTGACCCCGCCCCTTAATACCCAGCCCTAAGCACGCCACACATCAAGGCCCGGCCCCAGCCGCTTTGTCTCGGAAGATGAAAGCCAGGTGAGAACAGGTGAAGCCTTCTCTGAATCACCACCTGCAACCACGGAGACGCAGCGGGAGGAGGAGGGGAATCCGCTCGCTCGGAGGGCGCCCGCGCGGGCGGATGCTGGCTCAGCCGCCCAGATGCCCTGCTGGCAGCACCGAGGGGGATGGGGCGCCTTCTGTCACGGACATGTGTGTGCACACGGACCAGCTCACAGACACACGTGTGCACAGACATACTCAGACACACACAGGTGTACAGACATATGTGTGCGCAGACATAACCTCATAGGCTCACACGTGGACAGACACAATCTCTCAGCCACAGCCACACATGCGCAGCCAGACACACAGACACATGCTCACAGCTACAGACATGATGGTGCACAAACACACGTATGTACACACATGCTCACAGCCAGGCACATGTGTACACACATGCAGACAGATGCTCACAGCTCTAGAAACATATGGGTGCAGACACACACGAGCACGTGCACATGCTCACAAACACACTTGTGTACACATACACATGCAGATACATGCTCACAGCTCCAGACACACATGTGTACCCACAGACACACACATACACAGATGCAAGCTCAGAAACACACACATGTGCAGACACGTATGAACACAAACACACATTCTCACTGATGCATGTGTGTGCACACTGGCAGGGACACACACGTGCCAAGGACACTCACCACAACGTGTATAAGTGCACACAGACACATACAACCACAAACGTGTGCAGACACATGAGCACTCAGACACACATGTGCACACATTCTCATTGATGTGTGTACACGCACACAGACACGCATACTCGAAGCCAGATATGCATGTTTGTGCATTTTCAGACCTGTGCATGCACACAGAAACAAATGCTCAGACACACATGTGTGCACACCAACATTCAGCCACGGATACACATATGTGTATACATATAGACATGCTCAAAGACATACACGTGTGTATGTGTGCATGCAGAACACTCTTACATGCTCACTTAAGACACACAGGCATACGCACACACTCATACTCACAAGTGTGTGCTGAGCACAAAGATGCAAAAATACAGTGTCACAGACAGAATCATACACACACAATCACGCACAACTGCGCCGAGACACACACTTGCGCCAGACAAACAACTGCACACAAGAACACAACTGCAGGCATGCAACTGCAGGCACAGACCCACAGGCACGGCACAGCTGCACTCGCAGACCCGCAGAAGCACGCCCTGCCCTGTCTGCGGGAGCTGGTGCTGGGCACGGACGGGTCTCTGCCCCAGGGGCCAGGCTGTGTGACGGCAGCGCAGGCTGAGGGGTCCAGCACGCCAAACCTCAGCTGGAAATGCCCCCGCGTCAGTCGGACTGAGCAAAGGCTGAGAAAACTGTTATTGACAGGTGAGAGGGTGAAAGGGGGAGGCCCCAGACCTGCCCACGTGCGCTGTGGCGGGAAGGACACGGCCTGAGCAGCAGCAGCCCGGGATGGGGGCACGGGGCGTGCAGGGGGAGCCCGGGAACGGAGGCACAGGGCGCGCAGACAGGGCGGGCCAGGGCGTACCGTGGAGCCCCCTGCAGGTGCAGGGGCCGGAGATGGTGCGTGCATCAGGTGGAACCCGGGCTGCTCAGGTCAGGAGCAGGAGCTAAAAGTGGGAGCCTGTGGGCGGGCAACCCTGCCACAGCTGCACGAACTTCCCAGTCCCGCAGAAACCATCCTCTCAGCTCTCCAAGAGGGTCCCCCAAACAGGCCCGGTCACCTGAAAACACCCACCAGGCCTGGACCCTGGCATTCCAACCGCCACGGGCCCCACCCCGCCCTGACGAACCCCGTCCAACACCATGGGGGAGCACTCCTGGACCGAGAGGGGACAGGCGCAGGGCGGCCCCGTCCCCACAAAGCCCAGTCAGGGGTGACAGAGGGGCCACCCCGTGCGGGAGGATGGAGACCCACTCGCAGCTGCACCATCTCCCGAGGCAGGACCGGACGTGGCTACTGACCAAACGGGAGAGAATTCCCAGCTCCGGGGGCAGCAGCGCGGATGGTGAGTCTGGGGCGAAGGGAATGGCCCCAGAGAGTGACTCGGTGGCATATTCACCCGGGACTCTCCGCACCCTCCCTCACCTCCACCTCCTCCAAGCGGGAGCAGGGTAGAGGGACCGACTTCATTCCATGCTCATCCACAGCTGCTGCGCACACGTACCCTCCCATACACACATGCACGCACGCACGCACACACAGGCACATGCACATGCACGCACGTGCACACATGCATGCACACGCACGCACACGCATGCACACACGTGCATGCACACATGCACACGCACACATGTACACACACGTGCACACACATGCACGCATACACATGCATGCACACACATGCACACATGTGCACATGCATGCACACACATGTACACATGAACACACACACACGCACGCACACATCATCCACATTGCCAGTGTGTGCAGCCAGCATGGAGCTGCCCAGCGCCGTATCCCCGTGCGGAGACGGAGAGGAGACACCAGGCGGGTGTTTGCCAGTGGGGGGCGACCTTGCACACGGCTGACCTGGATTTGAATCCCAAGCTCCCCACAGTGATCCCTGAGCGCAGAGCCAGGAGTGTGAGCACAGCCCGAGAGGCCCAGAAACCAACAGATCCCAGCGCCCCCGAGGCAGCCACAGAGCAGCCGGGCCACGGTTGGCATGGAAGGCGGAAGAGGAAAGTCAGAGATGGGACTCGCCCGTACCCACAAGGGTCAGTCAGTGTGGATTCCTGACCACGCCAACGAGAGGCCGACCTCCTCAGCTGGACTGACAAGTGACCATCCAGTCCACAGGACACGTACCTTGGCTAAAAGCGCAAGGCGGGGAGGCCTTCCCGAGCGCTGCCGTGGCTGGCGCAGTACCCAGCCGAGCTTCCTCCAGGAGGGGGCTCAGGAGGTGGCCCCTGTCCCAGGGATGAGCTACTTACTGAGACAGCAGGACAGCAGGACTCTGAGTGCATGTCAGCCCAGAGAACTCCAAGATCCACACAGCACACACGCCGGCCTCGGGGGCACACGCACACCAGGCAGACAGCCACCATAGGACCAAGCCGAAATGACGAGCACTGTGAAACGCTAGGTGGCAAACAAAGCAACGAGGTTCATGCGTCCTGCTAAAACGTATGAGGCCTTTTCCAAACAGAGCGTCAGCTGGATCATAAAGCAAGGCTCAAAGATCCTGACGGGCAGGCCCACGTTCAAGCCCGGGTTCTCCCTGGAACACGCATCTTGACCGCTTGTCCCCAGCTGTCTCTGCTCATCTTGCCCGCCCGGAGAAGCCCGTGTTCTTGCTTGAACAACTTCTCCCTCTCTCTCTGTCTTTCTAACATGCTTCAGTGAAAACTATCTTGCTACACACACACAAAATGTGTACATATGTATTTTATATATAATTATACATGTATATCAAAGGACGAATCATGGAAAGTGTGTTTTGACCACCGAAGAACTGAGTTCTAAATTAATAAAAATATTCTAGAAAGTCCCCGGGTTTCTTGAAATACACGATGCTCAGAAGCACTGGGCAAGCCCAAGGAGAAATCACAAGGAACGTGTCCGCGGGGCAACAGAACGGCCACAGGAGAGCACGAAGGGAAACTCCTCAGAAGAACTCTGGAAGTCTATATGCGGTGATACAAAATTCCACTTGAAGAAGCTGGACAAAGAATCCATTAGAGCGAAGGTGAGGGGGCCCCCGAAATGGTGCTGGGATCAATGGAATGGAAACCGTCGGCTACAGGTAGGGGTCGATGGGGCCGAGATGGCTCTCTGTTAAGATCAATAGCCGTTAGGAACTTTCGCTGAGCTGATGAGGTAACACACATCCATTACTGCGGGCGTGGGGCAGGGGAGCGCCGACCGGCCCATCAAACCGCTTCTAGGCACCTGCCCAAGGAGAGTGCAGGACGCGGCCACGAGACCATCCCCGGAGCGCCCGGAACAGCGCGGCGCAGAGGCCCACCACGGGGGGGGGGGGGGGGGAGGAGGAAGCAGATGGAGCCTCTCCGGTGAAGCATGAGCAGCAGCAAAGCAACACGGCAGTTCCCGGTGCGACGTGGGCAGCCCAACACGCCAGGGCCCCACGGGCCAGACACGCCAGGGCCCCACGGGCCAGACACGCCAGGGCCCCATGGGCCAGACACGCCAGGGCCCCACGGGCCAGACACACCACCATCCCCAGAGCAGCCGGGTAGGGGTGTCCGAGACAGGATGGGGCTGAGCAGGGAGGGCTTGGACGTGTCCGTCCAAGGGATGCACACAGGGACAGAACCCTTGCAACAAGGGCCACTGCTCGTGTGAACACAGCACCGTCAGGATGGGGTATGCGTGCGTGGGACGGAGTGTGTGGTGAGTGACCATGAGTGTCTGTGAGGATAGGTGGCTCGGAGGTCTGCGTGAGTGGATGTGTGTGTCTGCACGCATGGCTGCGTGGCCGCGGGGTGCTCATGAGGGCCGGAGCGCACTGGACACGGGCCCACAGTCAGGCACAGAAATTCCCTCCCTCGGGTTTGGGGACTTCCCTCCTCAGGCCTGGGAACTTCTCCCCCCTCGGGAACTTCCTCCTGTGGCCTTCTCCCCCAGGCACGGGACCGGCGTCCCTCGGGCACAAGGACCCGGACCGCCAGCGGGCACCTACCCGCGGGCCTTCCCCGCCGCCCCAGGCCGCGTGGCCGCTGCCCCTCGGAAGCCGGGGATGCGGGGCGCGAGCGCTTCTCCCTCTCCGGGCCGTGCGGCTCCCGTGTCCACGCACACGCGGTCCAGTGCAGAGCGGGACCGGCCGCCGGGGCCCAGGGGAGGCGGAGTCGCGGACGCCGTGGCCGAGGGCCGCGTCGGGGCGTGGAGCCGGTCGCGGGGCCGCGGGACGGGGGCGCCGGGAGGGCCTGCGGGCGCCCTGGGAGGACAGCGCTGGCCCCCGCGGCGTGGCCTCGCGGGAGCCGAGTGACCAGCCGGCCCGGAGAGACGCCCACCCCGGCTGCGGGGCCCGAGCCCAGACAGCCCTCCGGAGGGGCCCCGCAGGAGAGGCCCCAAGGGTGCCCGATGGGGGCGGGGGACACCAGAACCCCCTCCCGGCCTGCACGGGGGAGGGGCCGGAGGAGGGGCAGCACGGGGAGGGCGGGGCCAGTGTGGGGCGGGGCCAGAATGAAGGGGCGGGGCCAGTGTATGGGGCGGGGCCAGAGTATGGGGGCCAGGCCGCGTGGGGGGGCGGGAAGAGTGTATAAGGGGAGCCAGCGTGGGGCGGGGCCAGTGGGGGCGGGGCCAGCGTGTGGAGGCGGGACCAGTATATGGGGCGGGACGAGCATGAAAGGGGCGGGGCCAGTGTATGGGGGCCAGCATGGAGAGGGCGGGGCTAGTGTGGGGGCGGGAAAAGCAGGAAGGGGGCGGGATCAGTGTGTGGGGCCGGCGTGGGGCAGGGCCAGTGTGTGGAGGCGGGGCCAGTGTGTGGGGGCGAGACGAGAATGGAAGGGGCGGGGCCAGTGAATGGGGGCCAGCATGGAGAGGGCGGGGCCAGTGTGTGGAGGCGGGGCCAGTATGTGGAGGCAGGGCCAATGTGTGGGGGCGAGACGAGAATGGAAGGGGCGGGGCCAGTGTGTGGAGGCGGGGCCAGTGTGGGGGGCGAGACAGAAATGAAGGGGCGGGGCCAGTGTGGGGTGGGGCCAGTGTATGGGGCGGGGCCAGCGTGGGGCAGGGCCAGTGTGTGGAGGCGGGGCCAATGTGCGGGGCCGAGACGAGAATGGAAGGGGCGGGGCCAGTGTATGGGGCGGGGCCAGCGTGTGGGGGCGGGGCCAATGTGCGGGGGCGAGACGAGAATGGAAGGGGCGGGGCCAGTGTATGGGGCCAGCATGAAAATGGCAGGGCCAGTATGGGGGCGGGGCCAGCATGAGGGCCAGCATGGAGAGGGCGGGGCCAGAATGGGGGCGGGGCCAGCGTATGGGGGCCAGCATGAAGAGGGCGGGGCCAGCGTGGGGCGGGGCCAGCGCGGGGGCGGGGCCAGCATGGAGAGGGCGGGGCTGGCATGGGGCGGGCAAGCAGGGTGGGGCGAGTGCAGAGAGGGCGGGGCCAGCGTGGGGGCGGGGCCAGCGTGGGGCAGGGCCGCTCGCCTCCGTCCAGCACGGGTGGTGGTCACTAGTGCCCGCCTCCTCGGCGCTGTCAGGCGTGCCCCTGCACGTGGGCCCCGCTCGGACCACACTGGTCCGTCTCACCCGCAGGGCCCACAGCGTGTTCGGCACGTGACCAGGAAGAGGGGCCGAGCCCCCCGGAGGCTGGCGCGGTGACGGATGTCCCCCCGGCGGGTGAAGGGCCCTTCCAGGCTGGACTGGCCGGGGGACACGCGGCGCTGGGGGCGCGTGCTGCGTTCGGAGCCGAGTGCCACCCCGAGGGGGCCCCCGCCACGGACCGGCCCGAGAGCGGCCGGGCCGGAGCCACCGGACGCGCAGGGTCCCGGGCTGCTGCTCTGCTCGGGGAGGCGCGGGCTGACGGGCCGGGGGCCAGCGCCCTCGCGCCCCAGCCCCGGGGAGGAGCCCGAAGAGCTCGGGGTGACGCGGCGCCTGAGGGAGCCCCGGGCGAGCCAGCCCCCTGGAGCCTCCCCAGGAGACTTGTGCCCCGAGCGCCCAGGGCGTTTCTGTGTCCCCAGGGACCGAGTTCCCGGAGGGCGTCTGTCTCGCGCGCACAGCAACGGGCCGGAGTGACCGGAAGCCACGAAGCCGGAGCAGCAGGCAGGAGTCCAGACAGACAGCCCGAAGTGGCCACACGCTCACGCGAGGGACGCGGCCGACCCGCCTCAGATCGTGGCGCCGAGGCTCATCACGAAAGTGCTCCGGGGGCAGGAGGTGCCGAGCACGGCTCGGTCCAGCGAGACCAGCACCAGGAGGGTCGGTTCTCCGCCCACTGCAGCTGAGGGGACGCCTCAGGGCTGTGGAAGTGACTCTGCACTCCGGGGGCATGAGCGGAGCGCGGCTGGCGTCCAGCAGAGGCCCCGGCCGCCTGGGGCCCCCAAGTGCC